ACTGCCTTCTGTATCAGGCCCTTGATCCATCCACCTAACGCCAGCCTCCTAAGATGGATGTCGAGGCTTTTAGGGATTAACCCATTGGCCGACACGACTATCGGCACAATGATAGCCGAATCCACACTCCACATGTCGACAACCTCGTGAGCTAAGTCTAGATATTTTATTTGTTTATCTTTCTCAGCTTTCACGAGGTTCTCGTCATGGGGAATGGTGACATCGATTATCATCGTGCGGCGTACTTGTCGGTCTATCACCACTATGTCAGGTTTATTGGCTACAATAGTCCTGTCAGTAATGATAGACCGGTCCCAGTACAATGTGATATGGTCATTTTCCAGAACTGGGTCGGGCACATACTTGTAGTACGGTACCTCAGATTCAACAAGTCGATAGTGTAAAGCAAGTTGCTGATGGATAATCTTGGCTACTTGATTATGCCTATGCAAATATTCACTGTTAGCCAAACGACCACAACCAGAAATTATATGTCTAATGGATTCACCAGGACTATGACATGCCCGACATATGTCAACCGTCCCATCCTTAATTATATATTTCCGATAGTTATTCGTAAGGATAACTTCGTCCATTATTGCACAGACAAATCCTTCAGTTTCTCCAAAGAGATTACTGAATCGTAGCCAAGATACGGACGCTAGAAAATCTACATTGGGCCCATGAAGGGCCCGGAAGAAGCGTCCGTGGAGCTCCTTGCTATGCCATACCTCCTTGCGATCATTGACGCTCAGTACCACAGGTTTGCGCCAGTTCTCTTTTGCCAAGGATAGTGGAGTGAATCCATTGTCCACTGCGGCTACTTCTCGATGCATACCCTCGTTGACTTTCAGGAAATATTCCCTGAGGTTGCACACCTCACGGTTGTGAAGGGTCTTAGCATTTAATAAGCCTCGACCACCACACTTCCGCGGGATGTACAACCTCATGACCGACGAACGAGGGTGATGCATGCGATTTGCAGTTAGCAGTGTCCGGACTCGCCTATCCAGGGTGTCAAGTTCAGTCTGAGTCCACTTGAGTATACCAAAAGAATACATTAGGACTGGCATGACCCAACCGTTAAAGGCTCGCACTTTGTTTCCGCCTGATAAGGAACTTTTCAGTACCCTATTCAGACGGCCAAAGAAGCGCTCCTGTAACGATTGCTTCATGTCCGGTCCATTAATGCCTAATCCTTCTGACATACCCAGGTACTTGTATGTATCGTTTGCGGAGAGTGATCTCAGCTTTGTGAAATCTGAGAGTTCTAGACCCTC